GTGTCAATTCCCATTTGAATTTGATTCCCCATAATTTAATCCCACCCCCCCTTCCCAAACACCTAGCATTTACTTCCTTTACAACCCCATCTATAAATATATTAAAACAACCATGGTGACATTAACATCCCTGTCTAAGACCTACTTTTACCGGGGAAGTAGTCTCCCTCTCTTCTACACACCCTAACCTGAGCCTCACTATCCTCATAAAAACTCTTACAGCATTTAATAACTTACCACCTATCCATATACTTGCAACATCTGCCACATTGCTCCTCTATCCACTCTATCATATGCCTTTTCTAATCCATAAATGCAATAAAAACTTCCCTATCTTTATCTAAATACTGTTCACATATATGCTTCAATGTAAAACACCTGATCTACACATCCCCTACCCACTCTAAAACCTCCTTGCTCATCCGCAATCCTACATTCTGTCTTACCTCTAATTCTTTCAATTATAACCCTACCGTACACTTTTCCTGGTTATACTCAGTAAGCTTATTCCTCTAAAATTTTTTTACAGTCTCTTTTGTCCCCTTTCCCTTTATATAAAGGGACTATACATGCTCTCTGCCAATCCCTAGGTACCTTCCCTCTTTCATACATTTATTAAACAAAAGTACCAACCACTCCAACACTATATCCCCCCCTGCTTTTAACATTTCTGTCATGATCCCATCAGTTCCAGCTGCTTTACCCCCTTTCATTTTACGTAATGCCTCACGTACCTCCCCCACACTTACATTCTGCTCTTCTTCACTCCTAAAAGATGGTATACCTCCCTGACCAGTGCATGAAATTACTGCCTCCCTTTCTTCCTTAACATTTAAAAGTTCCTCAAAATATTCTCGCCATCTACCCAATACCTCCATCTCCCCATCTACTAACTCCCCTACTCTGTTTTTAACTGACAAATCCATATTTTCCCTAGGCTTTCTTAACTTGTTTAACTCACTCCAAAATTTTTTTTTTTTTTTTTTCTTCTTATTTTCATTAAAATTTCTTGACAGTGCCTCTCCCACTCTATCATCTGCTCTCCTTTTGCACTCTCTCACCACTCTCTTTACCTTTCTTTTACTCTCCATATACTCTGCTCTTCTTATAAACACTTCTGCTTTGTAAAAACTCTCATAAGCTACCTTTTTCTCTTTTATCACACCCTTTACTTCATCATTCCACCAATCAATCCTCTTTCCTCCTGCCCCCACCCTCCTATAACCACAAACTTCTGCCCCACATTCTAATACTGCATTTTTAAAACTATTCCAACCCTCTTCAACCCCCCCACTACTCATCTTTGCACTAGCCCACCTTTCTGCCAATAGTCGCTTATATCTCACCCGAACTTCCTCCTCCCTTAGTTTATACACTTTCACTTCCCTTTACTTGTTGTTGCCACCTTCCTCTTTTCCCATCTACCTCTTACTCTAACTGTAGCTACAACTAAATAATGATCCGATATATCAGTTGCCCCTCTATAAACATGTACATCCTGGAGCCTACCCATCAACCTTTTATCCACCAATACATAATCTAATAAACTACTTTCATTACGTGCTACATCATACCTTGTATATTTATTTATCCTCTTTTTTCATAAAATATGTATTACTTATTACCAAATTTCTTTCTACACATAGCTCAATTAAAGGCTCCCCATTTACATTTACCCCTGGCACCCCAAATTTACCTACTACTCCCTCCATAACATTTTTACCCACTTTAGCATTAAAATCCCAACCACCATTACTCTCAAAACTTGATTCAAAACTCCCCACGCATTCACTCAACATTTCCCAAAATCTCTCTCTCTCCTCTACACTTCTCTCTCTCCAGGTGCATACACGCTTATTATAACCCACTTTTCACATCCAATCTTTATTTACTCCACATAATCCTTGAATTAATACATTTATAGTCCCTCTTTTCCTGCCATAGCTTATCCTTCAACATTATTGCTACTCCTTCTTTAGCTCTAACTCTATTTGAAACCCCTGACCTAATCCCATTTATTCCTCTCCACTGAAACTCTCCCACCCCCTTCAGCTTTGTTTCACTTAAAGCCAGGACATCCAGCTTCTTCTCATTCATAACATCCACAATCATCTCTTTCTTATCATCTGCACAACATCCACGCACATTCAGACTTCCCACTTTGACAATTTTCTTATTCTTATTCTTATTAATTGTATTTACATTAATTCTTATGGGAAATATTGCTTCGAATTTAGGATGTTTTGAATTTAGGCTGACCTTCTGGAATGGATTACGGCCGATATTCGGGGTTCCACTGTATATTGTGATGGTGGCCTTCATCTGTGGGCAATATTCACAAATTGCTCTTCCCTCCCTCCCTTCTGCCATTTCCTTACCCACCACTCATCTTCCCTATGCTCCTTCCTACCCTTGTTTCTATCAACATTAACAATGTGAGTAAGATCTTATTTTTTTTTTAAACACAGGCAGTCTCCCAGTGAGGTAGTATTCTTCTTTCAGCAAACCGGCCGTATCCCACCGAAGCAGGGTGGCCCAAAAAGAAAAACAAATTTTTTTCTTTTTAACTTTAGTAATGTATACAGGAGAAGGGGTTACTAGCCCCTTGCTCCCAGCATTTCAGTCACCTCTTACGACACTCATGGCTTACGGAGGAAGAATTCTGTTCCACTTCCCCATGGAGATAAGAGGAAATAAACAAGAACAGGAACTAATAAGAAAATAGAAGAAAACCCAGAAGGGTGTGTATATATATGCTTGTACATCCAAGTGTAGTGTGACCTAAGCACAAGTAGAAATAGCAATATGTACCTGAAATCTTGATATTTATGAAGCAGAAAAGAGACACCAGCAATCCCACCATCATGTAAAACAGTTACAGGCTTCCGTTTTACTCACTTGGCAGGATGGTAGTACCTCCCTGGGTGGTTCCTGTCTAACAACCTACTGCCCAAATGAGGTAGTATTACCCCAGGAAAAAGAAAGACTTTTACCATCTCTCATTCAATTTATCATGCCAGAAGCTTGCTAATATCACAGTTCATTTGACCCTCTAAAGTGCAACATCCTTGCCCCTTCCCTTTGAAGTTCAAGCACTGTACTTCCCACTTTGAGGACTTGAATCTGGCTAACCAGTTTCCTTTGAATCCCTTCATAAATGTTACCTTGCTTGCACTCCAGCAGCACATCATTCCCCAAAAACTACTTGCCTCCACTCCAAACTAATGTGCTCATACAACTGTAGGATGTTCAAGCCCCTAGCTTGCCAAACCACCTTTATTCCTTTCCTCCACCTCATCCTGGGATGACATTTACCCCTCCTTCCCACAACCCAAGATTTATTTATTCTTCTGGTCATTATATTTTACTCCATCTCCAAATGCCCACACCAAGATCTTCTCCACCCTCTGAATTAAAATTTTAGTAACCCCATACCTTCTAATCTCCATGCTTCTAATTCTCTGCATAATACTCACTCCACACATGAATATTGTAGTCTATATTTATAAAAGCATTCTGATAATTAATTTCAAAGCAGTGTTAATGAACTGAGAGTTCCATAGGCTGTAACAATGCTTAAACCCATCTATAAGAACAATGTGTTGAAAGCTGGAGGTATTGTTTCATTATTATGATTACTTTTTCATATTTTTTTTGAAGTGGCTTGCTCTCATGAAATAAGGAATATTATTCTGGGCATATATATTTTGTAAAAAAGCTTGTCTTATGACTTCTGCTTCTCAGGAAGAGTAAAAACACAACAAAATAGATATTGCTAATTGTACCAGCTTTTGGAAATATACTGGAATCAGTTGACAATTCTTGCTGTTAAAGGTGTCTAGTAGATTTTGCATAGTTATTAGGTACAAGTATCCCTTTCTCAGCAGCAGGGATTCCAGGTCCTCATGGTACTGTATTTATATGATTGTTAGTTGCAACTGTGCCTTAAATTTTTTGATCATATGGACCTTTGCAAATACTACAAATGTCTTCCCACTTAAGATAATGCACAATATGATTTATTCTTATTTGTAATTTACTAGTAGTTTTTAACTTTTTGTACTGATGTGGAAAGATGGGCAACTGCTGTACAAAGTTAGCATATACATATTATACAGTAGTTATGTAGCTGGGTATGTCATGATATTATTGGTGCTACTGCATAATGCAGCCACAGGATTAAAAACAAGGCATGATACACAAATACCCACACATAAGAGGATAAAACTTATGATGACATTTCATTCCAACTTGGACAGTTAACTAGTCACAGTTGTGACTAGTTAATTGTACAAGTCTGACAGAAATGTTGTAAGTTCTATTTTCCACTTGCAGGTATTCCTGTATTGTTCCAGTCATGGTATTGTGCCATTTCATTCTTTACAAAGTTTGAATTATTTCCATCAAAAGATCTAATAACTATCAAAGAACTGCATTTTATATGTATATCATAGGAAAAGACGAATTCCTTGAAATGTCAGAGGTTCATTTTAGTTAAATTGTGTTACATTATTTATGACTGTATTGTTCAAAGATATTTTAATAGATTTGTTTTATTGGAAAATCAAATACAGTATTAAAATAGTAAATGAGTGGTAGAGTACTGAGCTAGCATATGTTACTGATCATACCACAGGCGGGGTTAGAGCCCGCGATCAGAGAGTCTCAAAACTCCAGAACGTCGCGTTAACCACTGGGCCAGCTAGTCATGTTGACGGCTTTGAGGGGACTTGAGCTAGAGTTCATCACGGCCACGCTAGCTGGAGATTCGTCTGTAAAAACTTGCATTTGTGGTCACGGTGGTGCCTATGCTAACTTTCCTATGGTGTATAAATATGCCTAGTTGGATGAATCTTATTGTAGCTAGCTGGCCCAGTGGCCAACGCGATGGTCTGGAGTTTTGAGACTCTGATCATGGGTTCTAACCTCGCCTGTGGTATGGTTTGTTTGCAGTCAAGTTATTGCAATTTTGTGAGTCAGGTATGTTACTGTATCCACAGGAGGGGTGAGTCGCACACTTCTGCCACTTGCAGCAACAATGCTACTTATGTTGAACTCACTGGCATTGCATCCAACAACCAGTACTACCTGTCTATTCTGCCTACTATGGTGCGCATGTTTGCTCCCTCATTCCTCATGGGTGCCTTGCTCAAGTTCATCCATGATGTACTACAGTTCCTGAGCCCTCAGATTCTTGGGTGAGTTTGATATATTCTCTCTTAGTATTTTTTCTTTCTTTTCTTTAACACTTTTTCCAAAGCTGAAGGCCAAGATTCGTAATATTGACAGTACCCTCTTGGCTGACACCTTCTCTTACACTACTACAAGTATCTATATCCAAACTGAGTGAGAGAGTGAACACAAATAAGCACACAAGAAAACATTAAAGTGAATTTGTAAAGCTTTCAGAGTGATCTAAAGTTAAGAGCTTTGAGAACCAAACTAGTGTTTGTGGTACTGGTCAGCTCTGTCTGGAAAGAGATCAGGATATACAAGAAGACTGTCACTATCCTTGGGCTCAGGCTACTACCAAGAAAAAATGCCGCTACTATTCAGTGACACTACTTGCTGCATAAGTCATTCCAATTTCTTTTCCTCCATTTATTGTTATAACCTGTTCACTTTTAGCCCTAGCTATGGTTTCAACGAATAAAAGAAATGTGTCTTGTTGTGTAAAGCACATACACTGTACATTGTCATTAAAATTTAAGGTGGCTTTGAAGCCACTGTCTGCAGCCATGAACTCAGCTCACTCAGATAAGCTGTGACTGGTAAATTTGGGCCTCATATGAGAGAATAGGTCTGTATGGTAAGTGTGCACTCTATAAAAAAATTCCTGCAGCATGCAGTGCATAATGTGAAAAAAAGACAACTGTGCTTTTGGTGCAAAACAGCGACTTTGCAGTGTATTTTCGTATGGTTTTGTATGATTGTATACCTGTTTTTTTTTTTTGTCTCGTATAGGAGCGACCTGGAGATGTGACTAATGAATAGAGAAAATGTTATTTTAGTGCTAGGAATGTCTGCATTGTTTCTTCTGGACACTATTTTGAAATTAGCATCTCTTGACATTTGTGTGAAATTGGCCAAATTACCGATTTCTGGGCAGTTGAAATAGATAAATGAGCAGTTTCTTGTACTCAGTCGACAAAATAAAAGGAATGCTAGCGAAATATCTATGAGTTTGGTAGACTGGAAAAATGGAATGGGCCAAAAATGGGGTGTAAAATGAGTGAAATCGCCAGTACGTAAATATCGCCGTTGGGTTAAGTGTATTCTAACCCAACCACTCTGTAATCCAGCAAAAATCACTAATTCGGCACCCTACAGGTCCCGATGATGCCGAATTAGTGATGGTCAACCTGTACTAAGTACCTCCATCTTGTCATTTATTTCTTGATATTTCATTCAGCTTCTTAATGTTGTTTGTAATTTATTACTTCTTCCATAAGTAATAGATACATTGAATGTTAGGTGTGGGTTTAGGTACTTTTTGCGGTAAAGTATATGTTGTGTACACAAAATGTGTATCTGAGCCTGTATTGCATGAAGACTAAGAAGGAGTTTTTTATTTCAGCTTATTAATAAAGTTTTCTGAAAGTAAAGAGGATCAAGAACCCATGTGGCATGGATACCTGTATGCTCTTCTGTTGCTGTTGTGTGCACAACTGCAATCTCTTATTCTTGGTCAGTATTTTATGAAGATGATGCTAGTGGGGCTACAAATACGAACTGGAGTTATCTCTGCAGTTTATCGTAAGGTGAGAAGATGACTACTAACTTCTACCACTAATTACTACTACTACTAATACTACTACTGGTTACTACTACTACTGATTACTACTACTAATTACTACTACTACTACTACTAATTACTACTACTACTACTAATTACTACTACTACTACTAATTACTACTACTACTACTACACTAATTACTACTACTACTAATTACTACTACTACTAATTACTACTACTACTAATTACTACTACTACTAATACTACTACTACTAAACTTCTTTACTAAATTACTACTACTACTAATTACTACTACTACTATTACTACTACTACTACTACTAATTACTACTACTACTAATTACTACTACTAATTACTACTACTACTAATTACTACTACTACTAATTACTACTACTACTAATTACTACTATACTACTAATTACTACTACTAATCTACTATAATACTACTTACTAATTACTAATTACTACTACTAATTACTACTACTAATCTATATACTACTACTAATACTACCCATACTACTAATTACTACTACTACTAATTACTACTACTATACTAATTACTACTACTACTACTAATTACTACTACTACTACTAATTACTACTACTACTAATTACTACTACTACTACTACTACTAATTACTACTACTACTAATAATTACTACTACTACTAATTACTACAACTACTACTATCTAATTACTACTACTACTAATTACTACTACTACTAATTACTACTACTCTAATACTACTACTACTAATTACTACTACTATCTAATTACTACTACTCTAATACTATACTACTAATTACTACTACTACTAATTACTACTACTGCTAATCTACTACTAATTACTACACTTCTAATTACTACTCTCAATTACCACACTTCATCTAACTACTCACTTACATTCTACAACATACTACTACACTACTACTAACTACCACTTCTAACTACTACTGCTGAGGCAGAGTGACCCAAAAAGAAACACTTTCGCCATCATTCACACACAATCACCGCAACATTCACAACCCATGCTTCACACCCATATAAGAGTGTTCGTGCCTCTATACTTTCATACATTCCCTTCTTTGCCTTCATGGATAATGTTGTCTCCACAAATACCTCAATGTACCACCCACCTTATTTTCCTTCGTTCGTCAATTCTATGGTAAACCTCGTCCTTCATAAACTCATCTGCTGACAAATCTACTCCCAGATATCTGAACACATTCACTTTTTCCATATTCCCTCCCTCCAGTATGATATCTAATTTTTCCTTCCCTAAATTGTTTGATATTCTCATCCCCTTACTCTTATTACATCTTTCTTTCTTTCAACACACCGGTCGTATCCCACCAAGGCGTGGTGGCCCAAAAGGAAAGACAAAAGTTTCTTCTTTTACATTTAGTAATATTTACAGAAGGGATTACTTGCCCATTGCTCCCGGCATTTTAATCACCTCTTACAACACGCATGGCTTATGGAGGAAGAATTCTGTTCCACTTTCCCATGGAGGTAAGAGGAAATAAACAAGAACAAGAACTAGAAAGAAAATAGAAGAAAACCCAGAGGGGTGTGTATATATGTGCTTGTACATGTATGTGTAGTGTGACCTAAGTGTAAGTAGAAGTAGCAAGACGTACCTAAAATCTTGCATGTGTATGAGACAGAAAAAAAAAGACACCAGCAATCCTACCATCATGTAAAACAATTACAGGCTTCCGTTTTACACTCACTTGGCAGGACGCCAGTACCTCCCTGGGCGGTTGCTGTCTACCAACCTACTACCTAGACTCTTATTACATATTATTATTATTATTATTATTATTATTATTATTACATGTATTATTATTCTTTCAACAAACTGGCCGTATCCCACTGAAGCAGGATGGCCCAAAAAGAAAAACAAAAGTTTCTCTTTTTTAACTTAGTAATGTACACAGGAGAAGGGGTTACTAGCCCCTTGCTCTCAGCAGTTTAGTTGCCTCTTATGACACTCATGGCTTATGGAGGAAGACATCTGTTCCACTTCCCCATGAAGTGAAGAGGAAATAAACAAGAACAAGAACTAGAAAGAAAATAGCAGAAAACCCAGAGGGGTGTGTATATATATATATGTTTGTACATGTATGTGTAGTGTGACCTAAGTGTAAGTAGAAGTAGCAAGACATACCTTAAATCTTGCATGTTTATGAGACAGAAAAAAGACACCAGCAATCCAACCATTATGTAAAACAATTACTGTACAGGCTTTCGTTTTACACTCACTTGGCAGGACTGTAGTACTTCCCTGGGCAGTTGCTGTCTACCAACCTACTGCCTAGGATTATTATTATTATTATTATTATTATTATTATTATTATTTAAAAAAATAATAATATTATTTAAAAAAAATAATAATAATAAGAATAATAATAAGAATAATCTTAGATAGTAGGTTGGTAGACAGCAACTGCCCAGGGAAGTACTACAGTCCTGCCAAGCGAGTGTAAAACGAAAGCCTGTACAGTAATTATTTTACCTAATGGTTGGATTGCTGGTGTCTTTTTTCTGTCTCATAAACATGCATTATTATTATTATTATTATTATTATTTTTTTAACAAGTCGGCCATCTCCCACCAAGGCAGGGTGACCCAAAGAGAAAGAAAATCCCCAAAAAGAAAATACTTTCATAATCATTCAACACTTTCACCGCACTCACACAATCACTGTTTTTGCAGAGGTGCCCAGAATACAACAGTTTAGAAGTATATACATATAAAAATACACAATATATCTCTCCAAACTGCCAATATCCCAAACCCCTCCTTTAGAGTGCAGGCATTGTACTTCCCATTTCCAGGACTCGAGTCCAGTTATATAAAAATAACTGGTTTCCCTGAATCCCTTCACTAAATATTACCCTGCTCACACTCCAGCAGATCGTCAGGTCCCAAATACCATTCGTCTCCATTCACTCCTATCTAACACGCTCACGCACACTTGCTGGAAGTCCAAGCCCCTCGCCCACAAAACCTCCTTTACACCCTCCAACCTTTTTGAGGACGACCCCTACCCCGCCTTCCTTCCCCTACAGATTTATATGCTCTCCATGTCATTCTACTTTGATCCATTCTCTCTAAATGACCAAACCACCTCAACAACCCTTCTTCAGCCCTCTGACTAATACTTTTATTAACTCGACACCTTCTCCTAATTCCCACACTCCGAATTTTCTGCATAATATTTACACCACACATTGCCCTTAGACAGGACATCTCCACTGCCTCCAACTGCCTCCTCGCTGCTGCATTTACAACCCAAGCTTCACACCCATATAAGAGTGTTGGTATTACTTTACTTTCATACATTCCCTTCTCAGAAACGAATATGCACAGATAAGAAGGGAGGCCCAGCGTCAATATGAAAACGACATAGCAGCAAAAGCCAAATCTGACCCAAAGCTGTTATACAGCCACATCAGGAAGAAAACAACCATCAAGGACCAGGTAATCAGGCTAAGGAAGGAAGGAGGAGAGACAACAAGAAATGACCGTGAAGTATGTGAGGAACTCAACAAGAGATTCAAAGAAGTGTTCACAGAGGAGACAGAAGGGGCTCCAGAAAGACGGAGAGGTGGGGTACACCACCATGTGCTGGACACAGTACACACAACCGAGGAAGAAGTGAAGAGGCTTCTGAGTGAGCTAGATACCTCAAAGGCAATGGGGCCAGATAACATCTCTCCATGGGTCCTGAGAGAGGGAGCAGAGGCGCTATGTGTACCCTAACAACAATATTCAATACATCTATCGAAACAGGGAGATTGCCTGAGGCATGGAAGACAGCAAATGTGGTCCCAATCTTTAAAAAAGGAGACAGACATGAAGCACTAAACTACAGACCAGTGTCACTGACATGTATAGCATGCAAAATCATGGAAAAGATTGTCAGGAGAAGAATGGTGGAACATCTAGAAAGGAATGATCTCATCACCAGCAGACAACATGGTTTCAGAGATGGGAAATCCTGTGTCACAAACCTACTGGAGTTCTATGACATGGTGACAGCAGTAAGACAAGAGAGAGAGGGGTGGGTGGATTGCATTTTCTTGGACTGCAAGAAGGCGTTTGACACAGTACCACACAAGAGATTAGTGCAAAAACTGGAGGACCAAGCAGGGATAACAGGGAAGGCACTGCAATGGATCAGGGAATACTTGTCAGGAAGACAGCAGCGAGTAATGGTACGTGGCGAGGTGTCAGAGTGGGCACCTGTGACCAGCGGGGTCCCACAGGGGTCAGTCCTAGGACCAGTGCTGTTTCTGGTATTTGTGAACGACATGAAGGAAGGAATAAACTCCGAGGTGTCCCTGTTTGCAGATGACGTGAAGTTGATGAGAAGAGTTCAGTCGGTCGAAGACCAGGCAGAACTACAAAGGGATCTGGATAGGCTGCAGAACTGGTCCAGCAACTGGCTCCTGGAGTTCAATCCCACCAAGTGCAAAGTCATGAGGATTGGGGAAGGGCAAAGAAGACCGCAGACGGAGTACAGTCTAGGGGGCCAGAGACTACAAACATCACTCAAGGAAAAAGATCTTGGGGTGAGTATAACACCAGGCACATCTCCTGAAGCGCACATCAACCAAATAACTGCTGCAGCATATGGGCGCCTAGCAAACCTCAGAACAGCATTCCGACATCTTAATAAGGAATCGTTCAGGACCCTGTACACCGTGTACGTTAGGCTCATATTGGAGTATGCGGCACCAGTTTGGAACCCACACCTAGCCAAGCATGTAAAGAAACTAGAGAAAGTGCAAAGGTTTGCAACAAGACTGGTCCCAGAGTTAAGAGGTATGTCCTATGAGGAGAGGTTAAGGGAAATCAACCTGACGACACTGGAGGACAGGAGAGATAGGGGGGACATGATAACGACTTACAAAATACTGAGAGGAATTGACAAGGTGGACAAAGACAGGATGTTCCAGAGACTGGACACAGCAACACGGGGACACAGTTGGAAGCTGAAGACACAGATGAATCAAAGGGATGTTAGGAAGTATTTCTTCAGCCACAGAGTAGTCAGGAAGTGGAATAGTTTGGGAAGCGATGTAGTGGAGGCAGGATCCATACATAGCTTTAAGCAGAGGTACGATAAAGCTCATGGTTCAGGGAGAGTGACCTAGTAGCGACCAGTGAAGAGGCGGGGCCTGGAGCTTGGACTCAATCCCTGCAACCTCAACTAGGTGAGTACAACTAGGTGAGTACCTGAGCCTCACTATCCTCATAAAAACTCTTTACAGCATTTAGTAACTTACTACCTATTCCATATACTTGCAACATCTGCCACATTGCTCCTCTATCCACTCCATCATATGCCTTTTCTAAATCCATAAATGCAATAAAAACTCCCCTACCTTTATCTAAATACTGTTCACATATATGCCTCAATGTAAACACTTGATCTACACATCCCCTACCCTATTATTATTATAATTATTATTATTATTATTATTATTATTATTATTATTATTATTATTATTATTATTTTGTTGTTGTTTGTTGTTGTTGTTGTTGTTGTTGTTGTTATTATTCACAAAAGAGTGCTAAGTTTTGTGGGTCATACAACATTATAACAGAATGAGAAAAACAGTAATAGTGTTTGATAGCTTACACCTTATTAAAGAATGCTGAATGGTTTTTACTTGCCACCATTTTCCTTTAGATATTCTAACAAATTATGCACTTTCTCCTGCATTATTCTTTGAATCAGCTTAAGCCTTTTACCTAATAACAAAATTTCAGAATATTAAGAGTTACATTGTTTACTTTTTTTAGGCAATGAAAATTTCTAATTCTGCTAGAAAAGAATCAACAGTTGGAGAAATTGTAAATTTGATGTCAGTTGATGCTCAGCGCTTCATGGACCTCACAACATATGTAAACATGTTATGGTCTGCACCACTACAAATTTCTATAGCCCTTTACTTCCTCTGGGACCTCCTAGGTAAGTCATAAAAATACTGTTGCATTGTGTGTACTAATATTTTAATGAACAGGATGGCAGTTTATCCACATGTAGCTGTAATCATTATATTAAAGCAAATCTATGTAGTTTTTTTGCTTATGATGCACATTTTACTATTTTTTAATTTTTTTTAATTATTTGCTGAGTGATCTTGTTAGTCTCCTAGTAACTTATGTTGTACAACATCACAACATTTACACTTCCTTATTTTAGAAGGCAAAAATAAGAGTTGTAATTTTTTGGCATATTGGAGATGATATCCTTTGTATATCATTTTATATATTTTTTAACACTGGCTGTCTCCCACCAAGGCAGGGTGACCTGAGAAAGTAACACTTGTCACCATCATTCACACTATCACTCTTGCCAGAGGCATGCAGATACGACAGTTTAGATGTCCCTCCAAACAGCCAGTACCTTCACAAAATATTACCCTGCTCAAACTTCAACAGTTCAACAAGTTCCAAAAACCATTTGTTTCTATTCACTCCTATCTAACACACTCACACATGCCTGCTGTATGTCCAAGACCCTTATACACAAAACCTTCTTTACCCCCTCCATCCATCCTTTCCTAGGATGATCCATATCCTGCCTTCCCTCCACTGCAGATTTATATACCCTCCAAGTCATCCTGTTTTACTCCATCCTCTCTAAATGACCAAACCACCACATCCCCTCCTCAGCCCTCTGCATAATACTTTATGGTGTAAACTGTTCATAGATGTCCCCTTTTTAAACTCGTTAGTTTAAATAACAGACAGTAATAGTATGTTTTGATCAGTGTCAGAACATCTTTTGAAATAGGTTCAGTGAACTATAGGAATCACAGCCTATGAGTTTTATCCCAAAAACGTCGAATTTAGGCAAGTCTCTTGTCTGCTGTTCCATACTTATTACTGTTTTCATCTATATAAACAGAAACCCTAGGCTGGAAGAACCTTTCAGTGCACCAGAGACAAAGCACTTGATATAAGAAGGTGGCAGTTTCTGTGATTTATTGAATTCTAAAATGTTTTTAATTCTTAAAATACAATATTTTATAAATTGTTTATAATGAAACATTTAACAGCACCAAAAAACAGAGAAGCTAGCTGTAGTGGTATGGAAGGCACCACATAAAAGTATAATAGGATTAGTATATACAATTTGACCGGAAATTTGGACGTTAATTGTGACTGTTTTGATGCAGTCTGAATGGCCAGGATTCATGTATCATTTCTCTTTAGCAGATCCTGAGCAAACTACTTGTATCCCTAATAGAGGGGATATGATATGATCCCCCTTGCTAGGCCAGAAAACTCTGGTCATTCATGTAAGCAATGTTGAAACTAAGAATGGTATACTATCAAACTTCACAAATTTGTGGGATTGAATTATCCATTAGTCACATATTTTGATGGGCAACAAACAAATAGATTAGACTGAAATTTTTTGCAGTGACCATTTTTCTTTTTTCTGGTTTAGGGGCCTTGGTTTTCACCTTGCCTCAATTATAGTATTGTGGTTGATAACAAGAGCAAGTTATGGGTGCATTCCTCACCTGTTATCTGTGTACCACAGCACTGATTTGCCTGATGAGCACAGTTGAACACCTAAAACTTACTTGAGGACACAAAGGTAGGTATTAGGAATAGGGGTGACATAATTCCAGTTGAGCTTTCCAGTGCTCCTGAAACAGAAGTATCTTTCAATGTTTATAATGTAGTTACAATATCCAAACTTTTCACCTTTATCTACCAGGTCCCTCTGTACTTTCTGGCTTGGCAGTTATGATTGTGCTCATCCCCGTGAATGGGGCAATTGCCAATAAAATGAAGTTGCTACAGGTCAAACAGATGAAGAACAAGGATCAGCGTGTTAAGCTCATGACTGAAATCCTTAATGGAATAAAGGTTAGTGATAGAAAGTAGTACAGTAATCCCTCACATAACATGGTGATTCATTTCTGAAAATCATAGTCTTACATAAAATAGCATTATGTAAAGTGAAGACTGTATGGGAAAAATAAGGTTAAGTTCTTGACATCTTTATTTTTTAAATTTCTTAATTCATCATAATTAATTAATTTTATCATACCTTACAGTCTAATACAGTATATTTGATTACTGACAGAAGTGTATGGAGAGGGTTGATGTTAATATTGTAAAAACAATAGCCAAATTTTCATACCAAATTGTATCAAAGATATAGGAACTCCCCATACCTATACCAGACAAACTTACACCAAAGATAAATACATTTTATGAAGCCAAGTGAAAGAATTTTTAATGCAACAATGACGGAGAAAGCATCAGCTTTGCCCATCTACTCACCACACCCATAATGAACTCGTGTGTAAATGCTAAAGATAAATTTATTCAACCAGGAAAATAACTGTTATATGGAAGAAACGAGGGACTAGGAAGGAAGTTGAAAGTGAATATAGATAAGAGTAGGGCGATGAGGGTATCAAATGAGTTAGGTAATGAAAAATTGGATATCAGATTAGAGGGAGTATGGAGGAAGTGAATGTGTCAAGATATTTGGGAGTGGACGTATTAGCAGATAGGTATATGAAAATTAAGGTAAACCAAAGACTTGATGAAGGGAAAAAGATGGATGGTACATTGAGGTATCTGTGGAGACAAACAACATTATCCATGGAGGCAAAGAAGGGAATGTATGAAAGTATAGTGGGTGTGAAGCATGGGTTATGAATGTTGCAGCGAGGAGGAGGCTGGAGGCATTGGAAATCTCATGTCTAAGGGCAATATGTAGCATAAATATTATGCAGAGAATTTGTTGTTTGGAGATTAAGAGAAGGTGCAGAGTCAATAAAAGTATTATTCAGAGGGCTGAGGAGGGGTTGTTGAGGTGGTTTGGTCATTTAGAGAGGATGGAACAAAATAAGATGACTTGGAAGGTGTATAAATCTGTAGTGGAGGGAAGGTGGGGTAGGGGTCATCCTGGTAATGGATGGAGAGGGAAGGGAATATAGGAGGTTTTGTGCACAAGGGGTTTGGACATATACATGTAGCAGGCATGTGTGAGTGTGTTAGGAGTGGAGACAAATGGTTTTTGGGACTTGTGCTGTTGGAGTGTGAGCTGGGTAATATTTTGTAAAGGGATTCAGGGAAACTGGTTAGCCAGACTTGAGTCCTGGAGATGGTAAATACTACAATGCTTGCACATTAATGGTGGGGCTGGGGATATTTGCTATTTGAAGGGACATCTGAACTGTCGTATCTGCTCGCCTCTGGCAAGACAGTGATAGTGTGAATGATGGGGAAAGTGTTTCTTTTTTTGGGTTACCTGCTTCAGCAGGATACGGCCAGTGTCGAAAAAAAGACGACGATGATGCCAACAACAACAGAAACAAACAACATCAGAAACAAATAACAGTAATAAACAACAACAGATAAACAACAGCAGAAACAAACAACAAGAGAAACAAACAACAAGAGAAACAAACAACAAGAGAAACAAACAACAAGAGAAACAACAACAGAAAGAAACAACAAGAGAAACAAACAACAACAGAAACAAACAACTCCCACCACCCCCTCTCTTTCTCTCTTTTTAATAAATATAATTTGATTGATACAGTTCAATATACGTATGTTGAAGTGTTGAAATTCATGTTACTGAATAGTACATCAATTTGTGTACCAATTGTTTGTGCATATAACCTTATTAAGATATTTAATTTTTAGGTTCTAAAATTATATGCTTGGGAGCCTTCATTTGAGGAACAAGTGATTGCTGTACGTAATAAGGAAGTAAAGATTCTGAAGCAAACAGCAATCCTGAATGCAGTCACAAATTTCACCTGGACCTGCACCCCTTTTCTAGTAAGATACCTGTTAAAATTTTGATTATTTTTTCAAAGGTTTATGCTCCTAATTCAGCTAAAAGAAAATAGTCTTAAGCAGCATCACAGTAACTTACTACAGCGGAACCTTGGTTTTCGTTTGCCCTGGTTTTCGTCAAATTCTGTTTTTTAAAACTTTTTTCGTCAAAATTTTGTCCCAGTTTTCGTTCATCACCTCGGTTTTCATCGAGTTGACAGTGGTCCGCCGTACTGAACATGTCTGCCTGCCAGCGCCCACACAAAGCATCCCACGCATTCTGAGTCACTCTGGCTTTGTTTCTCGTTGAGTGAGCATTACCCAGCGAGTTCATCTGAAACATTCCGTAATAATCCATTGTTTTTTGTGCTTCTTTATTGAGTGCAACTGCTTAATAATCCATCATGGGGCCAGAGAAAGTTCTGAGTGCCAGCCCTTTGATAAGAAGGCGAGAAACACAATAGAATTCAATGGTGGTAGAGTGTGGTAGTGATAGTGGTAGAGGGTGGTAGTGATGGTGGTAGAGGGTGGTAATGATGGTAGAGGGTGGTAGTGGTTGTGATTGTGGTAGAGGGTGGTAGTGATGGTGCTAGAGGTTGGTAGCGATTGTGGTAGAGGTTGGTAGTGATTGTGGTAGAGGTTGGTAGTGATTGTGGTAGAGGGTGATAGTGATGGTGGTAGAGATAACCTCTCCTTCCTCTCCCCCCCCTCCTATACGCCAACAAGAGTTGTCAGTAAAGGTAAAAGTGATGTTAAATGTTCATTTATCCATTTCATTAATCCTTTATATTTATATCATTGTTTTCTGTATGTAAAACTATAGTTACTTTATAAAATGTGTTTTTTGATAATATTTTTGGGTGTCTGGAATGGATTAATTGGATTTACATTATTTCTTATGGGAAATATTGCTCAGTTTTCGTTGAATTTGGTTTTCGTCAGACTTTCAGGAATGAATTAATGACGAAAACTGAGGTTCCACTGTATTTTCTTAAAGATCACAAAATGTACAGCACACACACGGTTTTTGGTTCCCTTTGCTCTGCTAGGATTCTTGTAGTGGATCCATGTTCTCTGTTTGGCTCACCTCCAGTGATTTGTCCTGATTTGCCACAATAATGTTTTCAGTTATATAAATGACTTGCAAAGGGAATAAATAACACAGAATGATTGTGGATGGAGTAAAAAATTTTTGTATAATGGAACTGGGAGTAAGCAAAAGCAGACCATATGATCGTAATGAGATATTAGTGTCAGATAAAGAAATAGATTCAGAAATTGTTTTCAAAAGATGGTTACCAGAAGATTATATAAAAAAAAATAATTTTGTACAGTGGCAAATTATAAATAACTTTTAACCCGTAAACGGTCCAAACATATATATACGTTTTTTCAACATTTGAAAGTATGTAAAAAAAAGTAGATCTTCTTTTTGTTTTTTTACATTTGAAAATGTGTAAAAAACTTTGATCTACTTTTTTTTTGTTATATTTAAAAATATGTAAAAAAAACGTAGATCTACTTTTGTAGCACTACACATGTGAACGTAGATCTGCTTGGACCGTTTACGGGTTAAATATGTGGATGAAAAAATCCTATAAAAAGAGTTTATATACAATATATGCTTTTTTAAAATTAGAATATGCAGTACCTGTGTGGACCCACACATAATAAACATATTAGTAAGATTAAAAAGGGTCTAAAGAAAAACTACAAAATGATTCTCTTAGATTACAATAATATGAGTTAGTTTTCAAGAAAGGCTGAATATACTAATGATGCCCTCACTGGCTAATATGAGGTAGCACACTCAGCTCACACATTGAGTATCCATGGTTCAATGCCCAGTAAGAGTGGAAACATTAAGTGTGTTACCTTAAGACACCTGCCCTCCCCATTCACCTAGCAGTAAATAAGTACCCGAGTGTTACCTGACTGGTGTAGGTCACATCCTGGGGACAAAATTAACCTAAGTTGCCCAAAATGCTCTTCATAACCTGGGCCTTTCTATATAGTACGTCATAGATGTCAGTTAGGTCTGTATCATATACTTGTAGAAATGAAGATTATTATTAGTATATTAAAGTGTTGTATATATGTACATTTAGTTTACTATAGTAAGCATTGTAGGTATTCTGTCTAAATTGTGAGTTTTTTCATAGTCAACCTATCCCAGATCTAAAGGTGGTCTGATAATAGGACTTCTACTGTATAAAGTTTTTTTTTTTTTTTTTTTTTTTTTCAACAAGTCGGCCGTCTCCCACTGAGGCAGGGTGACCCAAAAAAGAAAGAAAATACTTTCATCATCATTCAACACTTTCACCACACTCGCACATTATCACTGTTTTTGCAGAGGTGCTCAGAATACAACAGTTTAGAAGCATACACATATAAAGATACACAACATATCCCTCCAAACTGCCAATATCCCAAACCCCTCCTTTAAAGTGCAGGCATTGTACTTTCCATTTCCAGGACTCAAGTCCGACTACATGAAAATAACCGGTTTCCCTGAATCCCTTCACTAAATATTACCCTGCTCACACTCCAACAGATCGTCAGGTCCCAAGTACCATTCGTCTCCATTCACTCCTATCTAACATGCTCACGCATGCTTACTGGAAGTCCAAGCCCCTTGCCCACAAAACCTCCTTTATCCCCTCTCTCCAACCCTTTCAAGGACGACCCCTACCCCACCTTCCTTTCCCTATAGATTTATATGCTTTCCATGTCATTCTACTTTGATCCATTCTCTCTAAATGACCAAACCACCTCAACAACCCTTCTTCTGCCCTCTGACTAATACTTTTATTAACTCCACACCTTTTCCTAATTTCCACACTCCGAATTTTCTGCATAATACTTACACCACACATTGCCCTTAAACAGGACATCTCCACTGCCTCCAACCGTCTCCTCGCTGCTGCATTTACCACCCAAGCTTCACACCCATATAAGAGTGTTGGTGCTACTATACTTTCATACATTCCCTTCTTTGCCTCCATAGATAACGTTTTTTGACTCCACATATACCTCAATGCACCACTCACCTTTTTTCCCTCATCAATTCTATGATTAACCTTATCCTTCATAAATCCATCTGCCGACACGTCAACTCCCAAGTATCTGAAAACATTCACTTCTTCCATACTCCTCCTCCCCAATTTGATATCCAATTTTTCTTTATCTAAATCATTTGACACCCTCATCACCTTACTCTTTTCTATGTTCACTTTCAACTTTCTACCTTTACACACATTCCCAAACTCATCCACTAACCTTTGCAATTTTTCTTTAGAATCTCCCATAAGCACAGTATCATCAGCAAAAAGTAACTGTGTCAATTCCCATTTTGAATTTGATTCCCCAAAATTTAATCCCACCCCTCTCCCGAACACCCTAGCATTTACTTCCTTTACAACCCCATCTATAAATATATTAAAAAACCATGGTGACATTACACATCCCTGTCTAAGACCTACTTTTACCGTGAAGTAGTCTCCCTCTCTTCTACACACCCTAACCCGAGCCTCACTATCCTCATAAAAACTCTTTACAGCATTTAATAACTTACCACCTATTCCATATACTTGCAACATCTGCCACATTGCTCCTCTATCCACTCTATCATATACCTTTTCTAAATCCATAAATGCAATATAAACTTCCCCACCTTTATCTAAATACTGTTCACATATATGCTTCAATGTAAACACTTGATCTACACATCCCCTACCCACTCTGAAACCTTGCTCATCTGCAATCCTACATTCTGTCTTGCCTCTAATTCTTTCAATTATAACCCTACCGTACACTTTTCCTGGTATACTCAGTAAACTTATTCCTCTATAATTTTTACAGTCTCTTTTGTCTCCTTTCCCTTTATATAAAGGGACTATACATGCTCTCCACCAATCCCTAGGTACCTTCCCCTCTTTCATACATTTATTAAACAAAAGTACCAACCACTCCAACACTATATCCCCTCCTGCTGTTAACATTTCTGTCATGATCCCATCAGTTCCAGCTGCTTTACCCCCTTTCATTCTACGTAATGCCTCACGTACCTCCCCCACACTTACATTCTGCTCTTCTTCACTCCTAAAAGATTGTATACCTCCCTGACCAGTGCATGAAATTACTGCCTCTCTTTCTTCCTTAACATTTAAAAGTTCCTCAAAATATTCTCGCCATCTACCTAATACCTCCATCTCCCCATCTACTACCTCCCCTACTCTGTTTTTAACTGACAAATCCATACTTTCCCTAGGCTTTCTTAACTTGTTTAACTCACTCCAAAAATTTTTCTTATTTTCATTAAAATTTCTTGACAGTGCCTCTCCCACTCTATCATCTGCTCTCCTTTTGCACTCTCTCACCACTCTCTTTACCTTTCTTTTACTCTCCATATACTCTGCTCTTCTTATAACACTTCTGCTTTGTAAAAACCTCTCATAAGCTACCTTTTTCTCTTTTATCACACCCTTTACTTCATCATTCCACCAATCACTCCTCTTTCCTCCTGCCCCCACCCTCCTATAACCACAAACTTCTGCCCCATATTCTAATACTGCATTTTTAAAACTATTCCAGCCCTCTTCAACCCCCCCACTACTCATCTTTGCACTAGCCCACCTTTCTGCCAATAGTCACTTATATCTCACCCGAACTTCCTCCTCCCTTAGTTTATACACTTTCACCCCACTCTTACTTGTTGTTGCCACCTTCCTCTTTTCCTATCTACCTCTTACTCTAACTTTAGCTACAACTAAATAATGATCCAATATATCAGTTGCCCCTCTATAAACATGTACATCCTGGAGCCTACCCATCAACCTTTTATCCACCAATACATAATCTAATAAACTACTTTCATTACGTGCTACATCATACCTTGTATATTTATTTATCCTCTTTTTCATAAAATATGTATTACTTTGAATTTATTGAGTAAGCTCTTGACCCTTAAACTGTCCAAACATAGATATACATTTGCTCGTGTTGCACTCCGAACGTAGATGAATGTTTTATTTTTCATTCCTTCAAAATTGGGACAATAGGCCTGAGTTGCCTAGATATGAAAGAATGGGTCTTAACACTTGGTGTGCGCAATACTAAAAAATCTGGGACCACTTAGTACCTTGTGGGAGCACCAGTTCAATTGAGTGGCAGCTAGAGCAAATAGTGTGGCAAACACCAGGGATTCACTGATGTCATGTCGTATTAACACTCACCTTTTAAGAGGAAAGTAAAAGTAGGTTAGATAAATACATGAGTGGGTGTGGGTGGGTGCGAATTGGACCTGAAGAGCTTATGCTACTAGGTCAGAGGCCGTGCTCCTTCCTTCACTGGATGTGACCTGACTAGGTGGGTCATTGGGGTAAGCTAGGGGATAGCATGGACCTGCCTTGCATGGGCCAGTAGGCCTGTTGCAGTGTTCCTTCTTTCTTATGTTCTTATATATTCAGCAAGCTGGCCAGCTGTCTGGTTTTGGCTGTCTGTTTATTTCTCTGTCTCTCTCACATGTACACATAAGTACAGTTATTATACATAGTGTAAATTACCTAGGATAACCCAAAAATTCCAGGCAAAGTGCTATACTGTGCTTGTAGATATAAGACATAAATAACCATGATGCAATATGCATTTTCACTTGCTCAGGAATCAGGGAGTGGCTCATAAACCAACAATTTTACGAGCCACTCCCTGAGACAGAGACAAGCAGACAGAAAGACAGATACACACAGACAGACAAAGACAGATAAACATAGCTAGACAGATAGACAGATGTAGACACAGATAGACATACAGACAGATAGACACAGACATGTTTGTGTGTAACAGTGAAAACAAATAAAGCAAGGGTTCCCTGAGTGCACATTCATAAAGTGTCACTGGGCTGTCAGCAGTTTACTGACACTTGTCATAATACCATTCTTCAAGAAGTTTCATACATGCTCCAGGCACACAGGCAGACAGAAAGACAGATAAGCAGAGCTAGACAGACACATATAGACAAACAGAGATAGATATAGATAGATAGAGATAGATAGACAGACAGATAGACACAGACATGTTTGTGTGTAACAGTGAAAACAAATAAAGCAAGAGTTCCCTGAGTGCACATTCATCAAGTGTCACTGCCTGTCAGCAGTTTACTGACACTTGTCACAAGACCATGCTTCAAGGTATACTCCAGCGTGTCTAAAACATTGCTGGGACCTATAAATACTTTGTATATATTTCTAGACAATAGTAAATGACCCAGGCAGGTGAAAATGTTCACCTTTCGGTATGATTGTGACTATTTGAATACTATTTCAGTACCTAATATTAGTGTCAGAACAAAGATTGGCAATGAAATCACAAGAACTATTATAAATTGTAATTATCAGAACATAAAAAATATATAAATTAAAATAAAAACGAGAAAAATAGGTATATTGGTAACACTTCTGCAAGCGGCAGGAGTCAGTGTTGCTGTCAGGTAAGCATCCAGCGCCAACTTCACGGGCTTATATCTCGGTACATATTGACCCTAAATTTTTTTTATCCCGTAACATATAGAAAAAATGCGCTCTTTATTTTTTTATTTATTTTGCTTTTTTCTTTTTTCAAAATATTCAGAGCGCTACACGAGTGAACGTAGCTCTACATTTGGACAGTTTAAGGGTTAAAGCAAATTGTGTATTAACAAGATTTAATAGTGTTGTCATGGCATTTTAAGCCTTTCAGTGTCAGTCCTGTTGTATGACAGCATTGAAACCAGTGACGATCCCATAGTATGATGCCGTGAGCTCAGCTCACTCAAGCTCTGAGCAGTAAATTTGGGCACTAGATATGAGAGAATGGGTCTGTGCGGTAACTGTGCACCATATTTTTGGTGTTTTTGGTTTAAAACAATGACTTTAGTGTATTTTCGTATGATTTTTATGGTTGTATTCTCAGTTTCTTGGTCTCATTTGATAGAATGGAAAATATATTACAGAAGTAGAGATGATTTTGATTAGATTTGGAACTGAAAGTACATGTAACTTGAAACTGAGGTTAAAGTAGCAGAAATGTTTGATTTTTGCCCATGTTCCAAAGTACGCAAATAACGTCATGTCCAATATGCATCCAGCTGGCCAGTCTGATAAGCATTTAGGAATGCAGTGACATTATTTATACAATTATTACAATAATGCAGTAGTCTGCATAAAAGTAATTTTTCTATTTTTTGTGTGAATAAAAATTCAAAATGAAAAGCAAGCGTAATATAAGATGGGCCTGGAAACATGACTAAGGAGCAGAGGAAATGTTTATTTAGCACCAGGAATGTCTACAGTGTTTATTCTGGACCCTATTTTCAAATTGGCAATGGTTGAATTTTATGTGAAATTGGCCAAGTTACCGATTTCTGAAGACGTTATTGGGTAGTTGAGATAGGTAAATTGGCGGTTTTTTACTCACTCAATAGAATAAAAGGAATACTGAAGAAATAGCTATGAGGTTGGTTGACTGGAACAATGAATTTGGCCAAAAATAGAGCTTAAAGTTGGCGAAATTACCAATGCGCAAATATCGCCAAGACCACTGACTTTGTGAGAGCATAATTCTATAATTTTTCCATCAAATTTCATACTTTGGGTTTCATAACCTTTGGAAAAAGATTCTCTATCATTTCCAAAGATATTTTTTTTTCTTCTTTGAAGATTCTTCGAACCTGGGAACAAGTTTGCAAGCAGGGGTTGCAACACTGAAAGGGTTTATACTCAAATGTAGTTTCTTTACTAACACATTGTTGAGAATTTCAAAATGGCTCTTCAAAATTCAATCTTATTGCACTATTGTATATGCACATAATGTGTGTGAATGTAAAGACTGGGTTCATGTTTATTAATATGGCTTTTTCCTCTTGCAGGTTTCCCTGGTTACTTTTGCTACTTATGTAAATATATCCGAAGAAAATATTCTAGATGCAAAAACTGCTTTTGTGTCTCTCACATTGTTTAATCTTCTACGCTTTCCCATTGTTATGCTGCCTATGCTCATCTCTAATATAGTGCAGGTAAAGCATTACAAAGTGCAGTTTTTTTTTATATATGTAACACTGTTTTTATTGCTAATAAATAATTAAAGTTTAGGCTGTCACTGATTACAAAATTGATAAATTATAATTACACAGTGTCTTACATGATATTAATGTGCAGTCTTGTTGGTCACCCATAATTTGTCCAGGGACTTCTTCCTGATACTACCTATGCAATTATCCAATGTTAACAACACTGGATAATTGTATAGGTAGTAGGTTGGTAGACAGCAGTCACCAAAGAGGTACTACCATCTGCCACATGAATGCAAAATGTAAAAAAGTTAAATATTTTATACTGACAGGATTGCTGGTGTTTGGTTTCCATCTTGTAAGCATGTAAGATATCAAGTAAATCTTGCAACTATTGCTTACATCTGCTGTAGTATACACAGGTGTATGAGCTTTCTTGTTAATAGGTCTTGCCCATGTAGTGTTTCCTTTCAGTCCATGGGGAAGTGCATTAGAAACCTTCATCCGTAAGTATTGTGTCATAAAGACTAGTAACCCCTTCTGCACCAGTTACAACAAAAACAAAGAAGGAAATTTTAAAGTCAGGTTCTTTGAAGTCATGGACATGGCAATGATCATAAACAATGGATTTTTAATGTTTTGAATGAAAAGAAGCTGAATGTCCTAGTACTAATTGATCTTTAAGTTACCGATGGCTTAAATTTATGCCACCTGAGAAAGTACTATCGATGTAAATTTATGCCAAAAGCGAGAGTTGTTTAGGCGGTTTGGTGTATTTAAAGAGGATGGGGTTGAATAGGACGATTAATAGGGCGTATAAATCTGGGGCGGAAGGAAGGAGGGGTAGGGGTCATCCCAGGAGGTGTTGGAGGGAGGGGGTAAGGAAGGTTTTGAGTGCTAGGGGTTTGAGCATCCAGCAAGTTGGTATGAACATGTTAGATTGGAGCAAGTCCTGGAGGTGGAAAGTACAGTGTCTGCATTCTGAAGGGATGGGAAGGGGATTTTGCATTGTGGACAGTCATTTGAGTTGTGATGTTTGCACATTTCTAGTAAGACAGCTGTTGAATGAATGATGATGATGATTGTTACATTTTCTTAGGGGTCAGCTTACCTTGATGGGAGATGGTTGGCATGGCTAAAAAAAACTTTGTGAGCGTGTTAGATAAGAGTAAATGGAGACGAATGGTATTTGGGACCTGACGAGCTGTTGAAGTGTGAGCAGGGTAATATTTAGTTAAGGGATTCAGGGAAACTGGTTATTTGTACATAGCCGGACTTGAGTTCTGGAAATGGGAAGTACAATGCCTGCACTTTAAAGGAGGGGTTTGGGATATTGGCAGTTTGGAGGGACATGTTGTGTACCTTTATACGTATATGCTTCTAAACTGTTGTATTCTGAGCACCTCTGCAAAAACAGTGATTATGTGCGAGTGTGGTGAAAGTGTTGAATGATGATGAAAGTATTTTCTTTTTGAGGATTTTCTTTCTTTTTTTTGGGTCACCCTGCCTCGGTGGGAGACGGCTGACTTGTTGAAAAAAAAAAAAAAAAAACTCATCTGAGTTTTCTTTGATTTTATCTTAATAGTTCTTGTTCTTATTGCTTTTACTCTTACATCCATGGGGAAGTGAAATAAGAATCTTTCCTCCGTAAGCCATGCGTGTTGCAAAAGTCAACTAAAATACCGGGAACAATGGGCTAGTAACCCCTTTTCCCGTATGGCCTACTATAAAGAAGAAGAAAACCGTCAATGTGGGATGTTTGAATGTGCGTGGATGTTGTGCAAATGATAAGAAAGAGATGATTGTGAAGGTTATGAATGAGAAGAAACTGGATGTCCTGGCTTTAAGTGAAACAAAGCTTAAAGGGGGTGGAAGAGTTTCAGTAGAGAGAAATAAATGGGATTAGGTCAGGGGTTTCAAATAGAGTTAGAGCTAAAGAAGAAGTAGCAATAATGTTGAAGGATAATTTATGGCAGGATGTGAAAAGTGGGTTGTAGTTAGCATTAATGCACCTGGAGAAGAGAGAAGTGTAGAGGAGAGAGAGATTTTGAGAAATATTGAGTAAATGCGTGGGAAATTTTGAACCAAGTGAGAGAGTACATTCTTATGGTTGGAGAGCTCAATGCTAAAGCGGGTAAAAATGTTGTGGAGGGAGTAGTAGGTAAATTTGGGGTGCCAGGGGTAAGTGAAAATGGGGAGCCTTTAATTAAGCTATGTGTAGAAAGAGGTTTGTTATTAAGTAATACATATTTTATGAAAATGTGGATAAATAAGTATACAAGGTATGATATAGCAAGTAATTAAAGTAGTTTGTTAGATTATGTATTGGTGGATAATAGGTTGATGGGTAGGCTCCAGGATGTACATGTTTATAGAGGGGCAACTGATATATCGGATCATTATTTAGTTGTAGCTACAGTTAGAGTAAGAGGTAGATGGGACAAAAGGAAAATGGCAACAGCAAGTAAGAGGGAGGTGAAGGTGTATAAACTAAGGGAGGAAGAAGTTAGGGTGAGATATAAACAACTATTGGCAGAAAGGTGGGATAGTGCAAGTATGAGTAGTGGGGGGCTTGAAGAGGTTTGGAATAGTTTTAAAAATGCAGTATTAGAATGTGGGGCAGAAGTTTGTGGCTATAGTTGGGTGGGTGCAGGAGGAAAGAGGAGTGATTGGTGTAATGATGAAGTAAAGGGTGTGATAAAAGAGAAAAAGATAGCTTATGAGAGGTTTTTACAAAGCAGAAGTGTTATAAGAAGAGCAGAGTATATGGAGAGTAAAAGAAAGGTGAAGAGAGTGGTGAGAGAGTGCAAAAGTAGAGCAGATGATAGTGGGAAAGGCACTGTCAAGAAATTTTCAAGAAATTTTGCAGAAAATAAAAAATTTTGGAGTGGAATAAGCAAGTTAAGAAAGCCTAGGGAAAAAATGGATTTGTCATTAAAAAAACACAGTAGGGGAGTTAGTTGATGGGGAGCTGGAGGTATTGGGTAGGTGGTGGGAATATTTTGAGGATCTTTTAAATATCGATAAAGAAAGGGAGGTGGTAATTTCATGCACTGGCCATGGAGGTATAACATCTTTTAGAAGTGAAGAGCAGGATGTGAGTGTGGGGGAGGTGCATGAGACATTATGTAGAATGAAAGGGGGTAAAGCAGTTGGAACTGATGGGATCATGACAGAAATGTTAAAAGCAGGGGGGGAATGTAGTGTTAAGAGTGGTTGGTATTTTTGTTTATTAAATGTATGAAAGAGGGGAAGGTACCTAGGGATTGGCAGAGAACATGTATAGTTCTTTTATATAAAGGGAAGGGGGACAAAAGAGATTGTAAAAATTATAGGGGAATAAGTTTACTGAGTATACCAGGAAAAGTGTAAGGAGGTTTTAGAGTTGGTAAGGGATGTGTAGGTCAAGTGTTTACATTGAAGCACATATGTGAACAGTATTTAGATAAAGGTAGGGAAGTTTTCATTACATTTATGGATTTAGAAAAGGCATATGATAGAGTGGATAGGGGAGCAGTGTGGCAGATGTTGCAAGTATATGGAATAGGTAGTAAGTTACTAAATGCTGTAAAGAGTTTTTATGAGGATAGTGAGGCTCAGGTTAGGGTGTGTAGGAGAGAGGGAGATTACTTCCCTGTAAGAGTAGGTCTTAGACAAGGATGTGTAATGCCACCATGGTTGTTTAAGATATTTATAGATTTTTTTTGTTTTTTTCAACAAGCCGGCCATCTCCCATCGAGGCTGGGTGACCCAAAAAGAAAGAAAATCCCCAAAAAGAAAATGCTTTCATCATCATTCAACACTTTCACCTCACTCACACATAATCACTGTTTTTGCAGAGGTGCTCAGAACACAACAGTTTAGAAGCATATACATATAAAGATACACAACATACCCCTCCAAACTGCCAATATCCCAAACCCCTCCTTTAAAGTGCAGGCATTGTACTTCTCTTTTTCAGGACTCGAGTCCAGCTATATAAAAATAACTGGTTTCCCTGAATCCTTTCACTAAATATTACCCTGCTCACACTTCAACAGTTCGTCAGGTCCCAAATACCATTCGTCTCCATTCACTCCTATCTTACACACTCACGCATGCTTGCTGGAAGTCCAGGCCCCTCGCCTGCAAAACCTCCTTTACCCTCTCCCTCCAACCTTTTCAAGGACAACCCCTGCCCCACCTTCCTTCCCCTACAGATTTATATGCTCTCCATGTCATTCTACTTTGATCCATTCTCTCTAAATGACCAAACCACCTCAACAACCCCTCTTCTGCCCTCTGACTAATACTTTTATTAACTCCACACCTTCTCCTAATTTCCACACTCCGAATTTTCTGCATAGTATTTACACCACGCATTGCCCTTAGGACATCTCCACTGCCTCCAACCGCCTCCTCGCTGCAGCATTTACAGTCCAAGCTTCACACCCATATAAGAGTGTTGGTACTACTATACTTTCATACATTCCCTTCTTTGCCTCCATAGATAACATTTTTTGTCTCCACATATACTTCAACGCACCACTCTCCTTTTTTCCTTCATCAATTCTATGATTAACCTCATCCTTCATAAACCCATCCGCTGACACGTCAACTCCCAAATATCTGATAACATTCACTTCTTCCATACCCCTCCTCTCCAATTTGATATTCAATTTTTCTTTAAATCATTTGATACCCTCCTCACCTTATTTATAGGTGGGGTTGTAAAAGAAGTAAATGCTAGGGTGTTGGGGAGTGGGGTGGAATTAAATTATGGAGAATCAAGTACAAAATGGGAGTTGAGAAAGTTACTTTTTGCTGATGATACTGTGCTTATGGGAGATTCTAAAGAAAAGTTTCAAAGGTTAGTGGATGAGTTTGGGAGGGTGTGTAAAGGTAGAAAGTTGAGAGTGAACATGGATAAGATTAAGGTAATGAGAGTATCAAATTTTTTTTTTTTTTTTTTTTTTCAACAAGTTGGTCATCTCCCACCGAGGCAGGGTGACCCAAAAAAAGAAAGAAAATCCCCAAAAAGAAAATACTTTCATCATCATTCAACACTTTCACCACACTCACACATTATCACTGCTTTTGCAGAGGTGCTCAGAATACAACAGTTTAGAAGCATATACGTATAGAGATACACAACATATCCCTCCAAACTGCCAATATCCCAAACCCCTCCTTTAAAGTGCAGGCATTGTACTTCCCATTTCCAGGACTCAAGTCCGACTATATGAAAATAACCGGTTTCCCTGAATCCCTTCACTAAATATTACCCTGCTCACACTCCAACAGATCGTCAGGTCCCAAGTATCATTCGTCTCCATTCACTCCTATCTAACACGCTCATGCACGCTTGCTGGAAGTCCAAGCCCCTCACCCACAAAACCTCCTTTACCCCCTCTTTCCAACCCTTTCGAGGACGACCCCTACCCCTCTTTCCTTCCCCTATAGATTTATATGCTTTCCATGTCATTCTACTTTGATCCATTCTCTCTAAATGACCAAACCACCTCAACAACCCCTCTTCTGCCCTCTGACTAATGATTTTATTAACTCCACACCTTCTCCTAATTTCCACACTCCGAATTTTCTGCATAATATTTACACCACACATTGCCCTTAGACAGGACATCTCCACTGCCTCCAACCGTCTCCTCGCTGCTGCATTTACCACCCAAGCTTCACATCCATATAAGAGTGTTGGTACTACTATACTTTCATACATTCCCTTCTTTGCCTCCATAAATAACGTTTTTTGACTCCACATATACCTCAACGCACCACTCACCTTTTTTCCCTCATCAATTCTATGATTAACCTCATCCTTCATAAATCCATCCGCCGACACGTCAACTCCCAAGTATCTGAAAACATTCACTTCTTCCATACTCCTCCTCCCCAATTTGATATCCAATTTTTCTTTATCTAAATCATTTGATACCCTCATCACCTTACTCTTTTCTATGTTCACTTTCAACTTTCTACCTTTACACACATTCTCAAACTCATCCACTAACCTTTGCAATTTTTCTTTAGAATCTCCCATAAGCACAGTATCATCAGCAAAAAGTAACTGTGTCAATTCCCATTTTGAATTTGATTCCCCATAATTTAATCCCACCCCTCTCCCGAACACCCTAGCATTTACTTCTTTTACAACCCCATCTATAAATATATTAAACAACCATGGTGACATTACACATAAAAATTGGATATCACACTGGGGAGAAGGAGTATGGAAGAAGTGAATGTTTTCAGATATTTGGGAGTTGACTTGTCAGCAGATGGGTTTATGAAAGATGGGGTTAACCGTATAATTGAAGAAAAAAAGGTGAGTGGTGTGTTGAGGTATCTGTGGAGACAAAAAATGTTATCCATGGAGGCAAAGAAGGCAATATACAAAAGTATAGTGGTAACAACACTCTTATATGAGTGTGAAGCTTGGGTTGCAAATGCTGCATCAAGGAGGCAGCTGGAGGCAGTGGGGATGTCCTGTTTAAGGGCAATGTGTGGTGTAAATATTATGCAGAGTACTCGGAGTGTGGAAATTAGGAGGAGGTGTGGAGTTAATAAAGGTATTAGTCAGAGGGCTGAAGAGGGGTTGTTGAGGTGGTTTGGTCATTTAGAGAGAATGGATCAAAGTAGAATGACTTGGGGAGCGTATAAATCTGTAGGGGAAGGAAGGCGGGGTAGGGGTCGTCCTCGAAAAGGTTTGAGGGAGGGGTGTAAAGGAGGTTTTGTGGGTGAGGAGCTTGGATTTCCAGCAAGCATGTGTGAGCATGTTAGATATTAGTGAATGGAGACGAACGGTTTTTGGGACCTGACAAGCTGTTGGAGTATGAATAGGGTAATATTTAGTGAAGGGATTCAGGGAAACCAGTTACAGTGGTACCTCGGGATACGAACTTATTTCGTTCCAGAAGGCTGTTCGAGTGCTGATTCCAAACGAATTTGCTGCCCTAAGGAATAATGTAAATTAGATTAATCTGTTTCTGACCCCCAAAAATGCACTTACAAAAGCATTTACACTTACATAATTGTTCGCGTTTTGAGCTGTTCATATCCCGAGGTACCACCGTATTTTTATATAGCCTAACTTGAGTACTGGAAATGGGAAGTACAGTGCCTGCACTTCAAAGGAGGAGTTTGTAATATTGGCAGTTTAGAGGGGTATGTTATATATGCTTCTAAACTGTTGTATCTGCACACCTCTGCAAAGACAGTGATTGTGTGAGTGAGGCGAAAGTGTCGAATGATGATGAAAGTATTTTCTTTTTGGGGATTCTTTCTTTTTGGGTCACCCTGCCTCGGTGGGAGACGGCCAACTTGTTGAAAAAAAAAATGTACAGTACAAAGTCTGATGATAAATACTACCGATAGTATTAGATGGCAGCTTAAATATTTTAAACTATTCATATAAATTATTTTGTATTCAATGGCTGTCACCGATCAGGGTGACTGCTTCATACAGTCATGAATGGTTGATTATTAACCTTTAATGGCTATATGAAAGCAAACACTTCATCATAATCCTTTATATCTAAGAAGTAACACCATATTAAAAGTATAAGAAAGTGTTTTAATTAATTGCTTAGGTATTTTTGGAGGTGAGAAAATGAATAGCTTTGAAAAAATTTAATTTAGAGGTGCTAATCTTTAGGTAAAATTTGTTAAAAAATTGGAGAAACATTTGCATGCTTTTCCATTTGCTCCTTTTATGTGCTATTACATCACTTGTCAAAGGCTTTTGCAAAGTCTCTTTATAGAGTATCATGATATATTGGGATGCACTCTAGAAATTTCTGTACAGTAGAATCCCTGTATCCACAGATTTGGTTTCTGCAGTTTCAATTATCCACGGTTTACTGTGGCCTGAAAATAACCCTCAATTTTGCTTAACGACACCAAAGACAAAAGTAGTGATGATGGCAGTTCTTCAAAACCTAAAAGAAGCCATAAAGTGTTTTCCATTAGTGAATAAGTGCTAATTCTCTATTTATTGTGCATAAATTTTCAAACTTTATCATAGGTATATGTGTGTGTGTAAACGAGACGTGACTTATATTAGTACATATATAGGGTTTGCTACTATCCCCGGTGGGGGGCTCACTGCTGTATTGTAAATTCATGATAGTACTATAGTTGTTAGGTTTTTGACTGATCTCTCTCTCTCTCTCTCTCTTTTCTGAAGGCACGTGTTTCACTTAAAAGGATGAACAAATTTATGAATGCGGATGAGCTGGATCCCAATAGTGTTTCAAGAGACTGTAGAGAGAGTAAGTTATGCCTTTTTTTATTTGCATTAGTGATTGTTGATAAACCTAGAGAGGCTTAGTTGTCATTACTGATAACTATGCTGATAATATATAAAACAATATATGTACTATAATTGAATTTTTTCAGATAAGCCAATTGTAATTGAGAATGGAACCTTTGCATGGGGTCATGGGGAAGATGATAGTCAAGCAGTGGTTAAGGGCATCAATATGAGTATTTCCGAGGGCTCCTTGGTCGCTGTGGTTGGGAGTGTTGGAGCAGGCAAATCCTCCCTCTGCTCAGCCATTCTTGGAGAGATGGAAAAAAAGTCTGGAAGAGTCAATGTTAAGGTAAAATATAAGAGCACACTTGTTGCAGAGACTCATAAAATGAACCACAGTTTTACCTGAAAAAAAATTCAGTGTAAGGGAGGTAAGAAAATGAATGATTTAGATACTAAATGGAAGACAGTTACCCTTGACAAAGCTTTTTGAAGTTAGTTGATTGGAAGTTAAGGGCTAGGCTAAAAGCTGAAGCTCACTATTTGACCCCTCAAACTCAGTAGGCAGCTAATGGAATTACATGCAGATATATGTATATGTATTATAACTTACAATTTTTTTTTATAAAATTGTATCAATAATATGCTTGTATTTTTCAGGGCCACATTGCATTTGTGCCTCAACAACCCTGGATCCCAAAAATCCCAAAATTTGGGAAAATTACTTTTCATGGGCAAAGAAAAGGGATCACTACAATGCTGTAAAAAGAAACATTACAGTGTTTTGGGGAAATGCCTTTGGAGGGGGGATAAAACTGAAATAGGGAGAAAGTAAGCTTTTCTTTCTTTTTTGTTACAGCAGTGTGTGAAAAGCAAAAAGAAATAGATTGTTCCCCCCGACCTCTGCATTGACGGGCAATGGTTAACCCTTACTGTCGCGGCCGATAAACGTTTGCGGGGGTCCCGTTTTTGACGTATATAACTCAAAATTTTCTAGTGCTTAAAATCAGGCAGGAGAAAGTGTAGGCCCCCGGGGGAAGAAGGGTCTGTGTGGTCAGTGTGCACCCATAAAAAAAACCCTGGAGCCGCATGCAAAGAAAAAAAAAAAACCCCGACCGTTTTTTTTTAAAAAAATGCCGATTGTGGGTCAATTTTCGTATAGTATTTGTGGTTGTAATTTCTCGTTTCTTGTCTCATTTGATAGATGAACTATATTATAGAAATGGAGGTGATTTTGATTAATTTACTATAAAAGAACCTGGAAATGGAGCACAAAGTACAGGAAATGTTTGATTTTTGCCGATGTTCAAAGTAATCAAATGATGCCATTGTCAATAAATGTCCAAATAGCCATTAAACGCATCAGAATGGTTGATGTAATTTTTACAATTTTACAGTATTGCAGTAGTCTGCATAAGTAAATCCTTCTATTTTTGATTTGAATAAAATTCAAAAATAAAAAGCAAGAGTAAATATCACAGGACCTGGAGCATGACGATGAACAAGAAAATGATATTTTAGAGCCAGGAAATGTCTGCATTGTTCATATCGGACCTTAATTTAGAAGAATGTCGTATTTATTAATTTTCGTGAAATTGGCCAAATTGCAATTTCTGACCATGTTATTGAGGTAGTTAAATCGGTAAAGGCAGTTTCTTGTACTCAATCAGTAGAAAAAATCAGAGTTTGAAGAATAGATTATGAGTTTGTTACTGATAACGAATTAGCCGAAAATAGCGGCTCAAAGTGGGCGAAATGCGATTTTAAATATCGCCGAAGTCGCTAACATTCGCGAGAGTAATTCCATGATCAGTAAAATATCCATCAAATTCGTTTTTTTGGTGTCTTTACATCAGATGGAAAAGATTCTCTATATTTCATAAGAAAAAATAATTTTTTTTTTTTTTCGAAATTTTGCGACAAGCAGAAGCAAACTTAGGATTTGCCCTCGACAGTCAAAGGGTTTAATATCTATATGTACACCACTGAATTAATGACGAGAGATGGATTGTAGAGTTATATTATTGTTCACTGCCATGAATATCATTAAGAATTTCAAGGTGCAAAACTCGTAAAGTATCCAAACTTTATAATTTAACCCTTTGACTGTCGAAGGGCCAAATCCTGAAGTGTCTCCTGTGTGCGCAAATATTCGAAAAAAAAAAAATTATTTTTTCTTATGAAAATGTTAAGATTATTTTTCTGATTGTTTTAGTCCCAAAAAAAATTTTTTCCCATCAGTACTTACCGAGATATAGAGTCCTGAAGTTTGCTGAAATTGATCTGCTGGCAGCAACAGCGGCGACTGCCGCTCACCCGGTAAACTTTTATTTACTTGTATTCGATGGTTTCTTGTTTTTTTCACTATTTTATTTTTTCACATAACTTTTGTGGCCTGTGAGACCAAATTATTGTGCAACGTTCAAATACTATACACTCGTTGAATGTAACACAATTATAGCAAAAACACTCGTATCATTATAATGTTGCTAAAACTTGTTTACACAAACAAACAATGTAAACAAATGTTTATTACGATTGCTTTATAATATATATACATATGTACAATCACTGGACACTTTATTAGAAGTGCTGCAGCTTGTGGAATTCTTTGAAACATGGGTATAAGCACAATGGTGTCTTACACTCCTCACACATAAAAACGAGTGTCTCTGCGTTTTTGTGGCGTTTTGTGGTATGTCCACAGACAAAAACACCTCTTCTGAGCATTTTTCTTGGCAGTAGTAGCAGGCAGGGTATGGGGTAGTGATCACCAGGCCTCAGACGAGACGACATGTGTTGATAATTTCGTGGGCGCTGGTCTATTGCAGGTGTTGTTTCTTGGTACTTGAATATTATTTGTCTGATGACTGACAAACAAAATTCACCATATTTGGGTTTGTTCTTGGTCTTCAACTTATACATATTATAAGCATTCAGCATGGAAATGTCAAAGATGGAAAAAACAGTTTTATGTACCACTTATAACTCTTGCGAACACAGTCAGCAAACCCAATCTGCATATCACATTTGTCCACTAAGCGCATATTGAGGTTGTAATCCATCACAGCTGAGGTTTTACAATAGGTTCATTGGTCTCTCTATTCTGCTTGCCAGTCTCTACCATTTCGTGTCAGTGAACTGATGTCAGCAGTGTGACATCACGTTTGTCATGCCACCGAAATGCCATGATGTCATTGGCAGCAAACACCTGCACTTCACCTCTACGACTGCCAGCTTCGAACCTAGGCATATGTTTACGATTTCTACGCACTGTGCCACACACATCTGTCATGTTCACTCGCAAGAAATCACTGAGTATAGGGCTTGTGTACCAGTTGTCAGTATATAAATATGCCCTTACCAAGATATGGCTCCATCATTGTTCTAACCACATCACCAGAGATACCCAGTAACTTCCTGGTATTTTCCATTGTTTTTACCGCCAGTGTACACAATTATATCCAAAACCAGACAGTTTTGCAATCACACAGAACAAATAACTTTATACCAAAGCGTTTCCTCTGCTTGGTATATACTGTTTGAATGAGAGTCTTCCTTTGAACAAAATCAAAGACTCGTCAATAACAAGCTTCCTGAAGGGATAAAAATACATAGAGCACTTTGTTTCAGGTACATAAACACACGTCTGATCTTATATAACCTGTCGCTTCTGTCAGGCCTGGTTTTGTCTGAAAAGTGTAACATACGTAACAGTAACACAAATCTATTCACTGGTATAATGTCACTGAAAGCAGGGGTTGAAATCAGGCGGTCTGTCGCCCAGTATGTGCTGACACTATGCTTATACACATGTGGCATAAGCATTATTGTGGCAAAGAACAGATACATCTCTGCCACAGTTGTGTCCTTCCACTGGTGTAGGCGTGATCTTGGTGAAAGCATAGTGTTTGCCATGGTGTATCATAGTATGTATTGCTTTCCCTGACAATAATGTCCATCAGGGGTTCATCGAAGAACAACTGAAAGCATTCCAGTTCAGTGGGATTGTTCCCAAGTGTACATGATGGCCGTATTCCACTTTGTCCTTCATCAAAGTCATGGGGATTGGAACAAACTCGTCATCTTGATGCCAATCCCAGATGCGGTCAGCTGGTGCGTTCTGGATATTGTAATGTCGTTGTGGTTGTGCAGGTTGTGGTTGTGGTTGTGAGAGTGTGGGGTCGGCCGAGGCGGGTTGTAGTTGTGCAGAGTCAGCAGCGCGGGCACTAGCGTGGCCCGCTGCTGGTGTCACATGACTCATGGCACCGTCACTATCACCACCACCGCCTGCTGCCTCACTCACATCATTTATACCCATCGTAACAATATCGTCATCTTCACTATCAGGACGTGGTTGTAGGGCCACGGGATGTGCTCCGAGATGTACTCCTTCCTCTTGGAAGAGCATATGGCACACTACCAGACCGCATACGACGTCAATATATACTGCCGCTTCACTGGGGAATATTCACCCTCACTGTCACAACTAGAAAGTGCTTCAATAACCTTGAAATCACTATCACTATCACTTGCACTGCTCACATCTGAGTCTTGTACACGGGCAAATAGTTTCCTCTTTCGTCCTGGTACAGGTGAACATGAACGAGCCGGCCCAGCACCAGAGGTGGATAGTTGTGGGTCATCTGGGTTTTCATCACTAATTATGTTATCCTGGGTAATTTTCTCGGTCACACCCGCTTCAAAACCAGGGAATTCACTTTCACTGACACTTTCATCACTGTTTGAGCTATCACTTGGGAACAAAAGACCTCCAATCCGCCGAGGAGTGAGGAACTTCTTACCACGAGGCATGGTGAAAATGGACTACCAAGATGGCGTTCCCACAATGCACCGCTGAGTCCCAGATTTTTTTCACAGGGTGCACACCGACCACTGAGACCCATTTCTCTCTCGTGTAGGCCTACCAGCCCTTCCCGCTTGATTTGAAGCCGCTAGAATTTATGCGTATAGATACGTCAAACACGGTATCTCCCATGACGTACATATACGACCGCGACAGTCAAAGGGTTAAAGATTGCTTTCATTTATAGATATTGTTCATATATAACTTATGACTATAAACTTAACTTTTTTCTTGTTTCATTATGTTTTAGAGAACATCTTGACTCAAATAAGTTATCCTTTATCACTAGCAGCACTTTTAGTGGGGCAGCTGATAGGTCAGTGGTAGTGTCTTTGGCTCACGACAGAAAGACCTTGGTTAAACTCAGGCAGGTGACAACATAAGGGCAAAGCTTCTTACAACTATTGGCTGTGTTCAGCTAAAGTTAAAATAGACACTTGAGTGCTAGTACATTGTTGTGAGGCACATCCTGGAAAAGAAGGCAGGGATTACTTAATATACCCTAAATAGGACTTAGTTTTGAAATAAGCCGAGGCAGGATAACAAAATTGTATTCTGAAGTAAATATTGGCTTAAGCTTGTGTCCTTATTAGTCAGAAAAATCATGATTGTTACAGACATGCATGTATGTAAGCAGACAAGCAGTTGTAAATTTCACATAAAAATTTTTATTAATTTCTTGAAAGTCAAACCTGCTTGGAAGTTGCCCCTCCATTTCCTAAATGGAAAACAAAAGAGGGGAGGCCTGGTGAATGTCCACTAGTAATTGGAGACACTTTAAATGTTTCAGGCTGGAGAGAATGTTCTGGAGATTTTGACTGTTGATACGGTAGTTATACATTAGACGGAGCAATATTACATTACTCTAATTCAATATCAACCCTAAAATTTGTTTAAA